GGTCCACGGAAGTGCAAAGCAGTTATTCTAGTCAAGACGGATGTTCAAGATAAAAATAATTGCTATGAGACAACGAACCTCTGTCCTTGAAGACAAACTTCTCTACAAAACAAAACAATCAAAACAAAATAAAGAGATGTATAAAATGCTAATGAAAAAGGTCAATTGAATAGCGGTAGTTCTAATAACAACCAAAAATATTACTGCGATGTACGCATCCTGAATATGATTCGATTAATATGATTTATTAACGAACAGCTGCACATTTCAGCAAGTAAAAAATGGTATCTCTGATTATTACGACAGCCACACGCTCAACGACTGCTAAGCAAATCAAGCCAAATAAACACTGGCTCAAAAATTGCTAAGATACCGATCCGGTCGCCACAGCTTAATTTTTTTCGCTTATAATTGCTAGCAACTGACTCGACATATACAGCAGGGAAAAAAGTGTGCATTTCTTGCGTGAACCGGAACTCGGCATCAGGATAAGCTACCTTGCTTATTAAACACGGCAGACATGAATTAAACGCGGCTGAACAATACATGTCTGTGAAGCAAAAGATATTACAGGGCTCATTAGGAGCAACTTTCGCTCCTAAGTTAATTCCATGCAGAGCTAGACACACGCGTAATAAAAATGCCTCAACTGCTACTTTTTACTGCTATACGAAAGCCGGGCTTCGATATTCTCACTAAAAACGTGCATGGAAAAAAGACAAATTATCATACATTTTATGAATCGAACAAGTCTTAAGGCAGGTTAAGAATGCGAGTGAAACTTTTATGAACCTTGCACAATTAACACGCGAAGTGGCATGTGTAAACTTTGAGACAGGAATTTATCGTCGCGTACTAGAACTTCGGCTTGAGATACGCAGCTATCGTTAGATGAATGCTCACCGTTCACGAGCATCAATGTTGTCATGAGATGAAATTTAAAACCGTGCAAGTTGTTCATTAATTATATTACAAGTCACTAAACTTAAATGAGTATGATAATTATTTCATGCAGGATATGCACTGATCTAGCATCTCTCGGTACCCGTCGACAGAGAAAAAGTTGCGGAACTCAGAGCAGAGTGCATAGTGCATCAGCTGGAACAGTAATCGGCGAAGCTGGATCTTCGATAATATAATATAATATAATATAATATAATATAATATAATATAATATAATATAATATAATCCTAGTATCTTGGCAACTACAGAGGAAGGCAAATTAGAAATAAATCAGACCTGCAACTGGCGGCAAGTAAACATAAGCAAGCCATGATTTACTCTCAACAGACTCAACAGACCAACACTAAAGTGCACATAGGCAGACAATTTTAACACATCAATGCACTGGAGACTTGGTATCTACTTAATACTGTGTATTAAAGTAGATACCAAGATACTGTGTATTAAAATAGATACCAAGTAGTAGTAGATACCTGTGTTATGCATGGTCGGACCATCGCCGCGACCTCAATTGAGTCAGATGGAGCCACACTATGCATATCGCGCGAAGGAATACCTATATTCTGCACGGTGACTGCGAGCTGCCGTGCGCTATCACGTACCTCGCTAATGACATCACGTCGTCCTCCGTCGCGAGTGTCATCACAGTGTGGAAGAAATTAGCGTGATAACATCATCATTCACACACATTACTCTTAATGAATTCAACTACTTTCTCCAGACATCATTATCAACATTATAATAGCTGCGAATATCATTACAATCATTATTATAGTTGTGATAGTTACTTTTTTGTGTCGATATAACTATCAGTTTTAAAATTATTTTCCCCACTTAACTACCACTCCTAACGAATGCCTTGTCCCACGATGATGCAGGCCTATGCAGTGCAACAAAGGTCGACGTTGATTGTTTTCAGGGTTTTGTATACCTATATAATTTATTGGACCTAAATCAATAGAGATTAATCAAAAGCTCTTAATCATCAAAAGAAGACAGAACACTTTGATAGAAAATGTTGGTAGGGAGTACCACGACTTGATGTATTTATTCGAAACAAAACCGCACCTGCTAGGGTGTAATTCCTACAACAATAGCTTGGCTAACCTGTAATGTGAAGGACAGTATTTAATGCCAGTCAAACGAATAGCGTGCATAAATTTCTCGCAATATTTGCAAAAGAATAAACAGTTTTACCTTGTACTCACTACCCAGGATGTGTTTGAATGAAATCTCAGAAATAAAATTACAAAGAAATTCCGCCACATGAAATATTCAAGCCTTTAATAATCTAGGAGGAGCGGAGAGAGGCACGGCAATATTGCAGGTATTGCCGATACGGCGACCTTCTGAGCAGGAGACCAGCAGTGCGATAGTTGCGTCGATATGGAGCTTTTGAATGGCAAGCACACGCTAACCCTGGCCTCACCTGCATCTTAAATATCAACAAACAGATGATAAAAACTTAAACCGCAAAAAATATAGGAGAAATGGATAAAAGCTAGTCAAATACTTCTTAAAAACGCACATAGAAATGGAAAACTATGAACAGAGTTGGCCTCTTTCATGAAAACGTTAAATTAGATCCGGGTAATTTTCCACGTAATCTGATGCTCTGGGAAATGTTGACCGCTAACGTTGCAACGGATGAATAAGAATACAGAATGTTCAAATTAAAGATTCAATAAAAAATGGACGGAGACCAATATAATTTTTAATATTTTGAACAAATTAGAAATAACTCTCGTATATTAATGTAACACCAAAAACTTTAGGCCATCCAAAAACAAGTGATATTCCGTTTTGGTGATCCACAAAGGAAACTTGAGCAGTGTATGTATGTATACACATAAACGCGTATTAGATAGTTTCTAACGCAGCGTTGATGTCTCCGCTTCGCCTTCAAGGCAACTATAAACATCGGGCAAGCATGAAGTCGAGATTATTATTATTGGTCAATAATAATAATGATTAATTTAACATTTATTTGCGAATATTATTTTATTCCATTAATACCTGAATTTTTAAACATGGTTATGCGGCTTGTCTCCAAAATGATAGAATTCGAAATTCGGTTAAGTTTCTTCTCAAATTATTCGTTTTTAGTTCCAGGTTATTTATGATTTAGGCAATTATGTCATTTTTAACAATCGAGCTTCCTTTATCAAGTATGAAACTTCTATGTTGAATAATATTCCGCTATCCTCCAAAAACGGTATCGAGCATTTTGCTTCCAGATCTCAGGGTCAATTTTGCTTCGGTCAGGACTAGCTGTACCGCTCGATAATAATTGAAGCTCTAGCGCGTCGTGGTCAGAATTGTTGAAAACAGGTTGTGTTTTTCTCTGGAGCGAGCCTAGCATTTCCTGGTTATCGGTGCCAGCTGTTGCAACCTTCGAATGGAAGACGAGAAGTGACCCTAAAGCACATGTGTTTCGAGCGCCGATACGTTGACCTAAATGCGTCGCTTGAGCCTTGGATGGCAAACTATAATAAGCGACCACATATGGAAAATATGAGGTGAAGATTTTTGGCTTCTCAGAGACGTACGATGAAAAGTACCAAAAATTTTCAATAAACCATACCAATTCAGATGACAAGAACAGAAAAATGAAATCGACAGACCCGTTTACTATTTACTCGCAGTGATAGTGAGGATCGATAAGCGTTATAGCAAGGAAACTCGTACATACACATGAGTGAGTAAAAACTGATCAGGAGCATGCAGACGTGATTGCCACGCCTGCATGCTCATTAATCCCAAAATTCATACCAAGGAGGAATAAGAGAACAAAGAAACAGTGTTTAAATAGGGAGAAGCCTCATATCAAAATCAGTGAGACGGATCACACATTTCTCGTGCAGCAGGTTTACGCCAACAGGTGCAGGACGAGATAGACCAGCAGGTGTGAGTGGGTCAACAGACGTATGATTGAAGTGACCGCGTGCCTCGATTGCTCCACGAGCACAAGGAGAGCTCAATATTACTCCCTTCACTTTCTGCTCTCCTTGCCTGATGTCGCAGCGACCCTGGACAGCATTAGCTTATAACGCGACCACTCCCACACCCTCCCACGCCTGCTGCCACACTCGCTCCATGCCCTTTATCATAAGGTTGTCTTGATCTCGTGACTCCAACGCACTACCTCATTGTGCAGTGTTGGTTGTCTAGCATGAAGCTTTGCTAACATGCACTACCGTAGGCTGTGAAAGCGCTACAATAAGTCCTTTGTGCCAAAAAATACAGCAGGAAGTAAACAAAATTACATGCTGATTATCGAGGTAACAAAAAATAGTCGAGCTGCGGAGCTGATTCTTTAAATTTCATGATATGAGAAAGAATTTAATTTCGAGTTGAAGTTCATGTAAAGGAAGTAATGAGCTCCGGCGGAACAAGCTTCATACCTACTAGATTCGTCAAGTGCAGAGTTCATTAAATACATTATTTGCAGGGTGTGTAGAATATTGTTTGCAGATGGATTTGTGGGCATTGGACATTTTGCATTGTTTGAAAATATAAAGCTTCATTGTCATGAATCAAGAAATTAGTGACAATACCGTGTACTAAGTTGATAACTTATAATCATGATTATCATGATCATAATCGTTCCCCATCATCCAAATTACGATGGAGTCGGGCAGAGGGCGGCTTTACAGTTAAAGTTCACCGCTCCTTTCCGGGCAGCGCCCGTCCGCATGGCGCGGTATTGCACTGCACTACAGGGCGTCGCAACAGGACAATCCAGGCACTCCTTTACTGGACGGATATCACAATATCAAGGAAAGTTTGCAAGCGCTATTCTATCTGAATCAACTGCCGTGCTTTCGGTTGGAATGACAAATGGTTATGCTTACCGAAGAAACATTTGCTGACAATTATCATCTTAGGTTAGGGGGCGAGAATTTGAAAAAGAGCTTAATTTGTATGAAAATCACAATCTACTATCAGCGTCAACAAACAAAACAAAATTTCTTGATCCAATTATAAAAAATATGCGAAATTACATACGAAGGAAACAATGATAACCTTGGCTTACCTTTGTGAGACAAGACGACATATGGCATACATAAAACCAAAATGAACGTCTGCACCAAGATCATAAATGTTCTTCTGAGCTGTTCCATCATGTAAAATCCAACACAGTTTTCTTGTAAGATTAAAACAGAACGGAAGTTGACAGGCCAGAAATGGATTGAATAGCGATAAACAGACACCAGCTACAGAGACCACGCGCACACGTCACAACCCTCCCGTCACGCATGAGCTGGAACACTGAACTCCTCTGCTGAGTCAGTGTTGCCAGGTTTTTTCTCTGCGAGAATACCAGATTGCCTAGCTCAAAATACCAGAAATATACCAGAAATCCTATTGTTCGAAAACTGACTAATACCTCCAAATTTAATGAAACTATTCGTCAGAAACGTTGGTTAGAAAAAGAAAAATATATAGATCTCAGTACTCACTGCAGTGACTGACAGAGAGCGCATTTTCTCGTCGACGGAAACGTGGTCACGGACGGATAGACGGACGGACAGACGGACATGGTGAGCACACTAGTGAATTATTTTCATAAATGAGAAAATGCGCTAAAAAGTATTTTATGTACTGTGCATTTATCAGTGTGGCACTTCTTCCCCTTCGCTCAACATGAGCAAGCCACGGAAACAGGTCATCTTCCATTTTCATACATGCTTACAGGTCATCTTCCATTTTCATACATGCTTACAGGTCATCTTCCATTTTCATACATGCTTGCATATTGCATTAATCTAACATTTCGGGTTTGATCACTTGTTACAGCTAAGCAGATAGCTTTTGGTCCGAATAAGGGACTGCAGTACCTTAGTTGAAATTTTATTTCGTTACTTGTTTTTCACATAGGTGACTTGTGAAAACATTCACTCCACGAATGCATTGGAGACCTGGTCAAAGTAGACACGTGGTGCAGTAGGCAACCAGTTCTATGAATGGATGATGATTTTCAAGATCAGAGAAATATTGTATGGCACCCCCGAATTCAAGTGGCACTCTATAATTAAATAATTCAAACCACCAAACAAAAATGGTGGAGCTTGCGTCGCAGAGATCGGTTCGACAACCTCACTCGTCGTGTTCCATATCATCACTGATCAGTAATCAATCAAGGATCAGCACTCTCGTGTTCATATTGCATTAAGCACTTTTGGGGTTATTTCATCAAGCGGTAAACTTGCGGCTCCAAAAATGGCGGGAAAGCTCTAATCGCGCCGCTCTGAAGGCAATCTATATAATCCACTCCTACGCTGGAGGAAGTTCAAACTTCAGAGGTGGAGCTTAATGCAGTAAATTTGCAGTAAGTCAGAAAATACCAGAAAAATACCAGATTTAGGCATATATACCAGATCTAAAATATTCATACCAGACACCTTCTGAAAATACCAGATTTGTGAAATCTGGTATAGAAATATACCATCTGGCAACGCTGTGCTGAGTGTTGACCGTCGCTGCGGGCTCGTGACGCTTACTTGTTTGGGCGGTTCTTCCTAGTCTGCCACCTTACCAGCAGCTCTTGCACAAAGACATGTCTTCTGGCACAGACAAAAAGCTCCAAAGAAACAAAGACGTTTCCGTAGTGGGTTAAGACAGACAATCTCGCTTTGTATGATCAATAGGGGAGCTTTGCTCTGAGACGCAGGACTCTGAACTTTACACTCACGACTTAAAGCCCTTGTTCATTAGGTTCGCTCCGGGGTTGAGCAGTGAGAATATCTCACTACTCAAAATTTATTTATTTATTTAAATTTATTTGATACCATGGTTCATAAAAGTTTAATTCTAAAATGGAACCGCCAGAAAAATGAATGTTATATTGCATTCTTGAAATTGAAATGATAAGTAGTCTTAAAATGCCTAGCAAATTACGGACCAGGCAATAAGTCCAGCAGCTATAACAATCAATCGTCAGTTATGGAAAGATCGGGTTCCAAAGGCCGGACCTCTTGTGAATCAAGTCACGAAAAATTCAAGAATCGGCAACAGGCCATGGGCCTATTTCTTCAGCGCCGACACTTCTATTCTATTTCATATCGTTCTAGAACAATCGAACGTCATTTCTCAATGGGCGTCCCCAACAATAAATAAGATAAAGATGTGAGTTTTATACCTATACGTAATGCGGTAAGCACGACAATTAAGGATGCACTAACACGTTTTATTTTTCTGGCGTGTCCCTATTCTAGTTGCACTTTTAAGAACTATGGTATCGAATAAATTTTATTTAAAGCGATTCCCACTGCTCAATCTCGGGCGAACCTAATGAACCTCACTGGGCTTTATCTCGTGAGCGTAAATTTCGGAGCTCAACGTCCTCCCCCCCCCCCCCTCCCCATATGGCTGCTTGGAAAAGAATTGCGCGCCTTCTGCTGAGGCCACGAGTATCCTGGTGGCAGGTGGTCAGCGGGCTGTACGAGAGGTCGCTCGCGGCGTGTTCGGTCAACGGTGGCTGTCATGAATTCCAGCACGTCCAATTGAACTTAAATGTAATCGATGAAGATTGCTTGACCCATATTGCGCTAAGTAGAACATCTGGCTTACTTATACCGATGCATTATCGACTCTCATGCACCACAAAAAGCGCAGTCATGTAGATATGATGTGAGAATATAGTTTTATGTAACTATTATTGTGCCAATGGAACAATTCTCAATAAAGATACCAATTTCAACAACCAAGCAACTTACAATGGTAGCAGCTTCATTTAAGTGACAGCTTCTGATAGTATTCGCGCGATTTTAAGGTGCGCCTCATACCGAAAACTCTGTGTATCTGGGGTCCATCGTTTATTCCGCGCTTGCGATGCCATCTAGTAATTTCTAGTATTCATGATGGGTCCAGCTCCTAAACTGCCAAGGGCCAATATTAATCGCAAGTGCCGCTAGGTGCTTCATATTGCACTTGTTTAATTGCCTAGATTTTCTACTCAATGTGGAGCTCGTCAGCTAGAGTTCTAGGTTGCATTTGATTCTCAGCTTCACCAACTTTGGAGAAGTACTGGTGGTAGTTTACCAGATAAAAATATGAAAATTTAATTTCGTAAATGATTTACAGTGCATATTAATCATTATCTGTTGATATCTATTTCCTTACCGTTAAATATATTTCTCAATACATACTAAATTAAGTTGGCTTAGTCAACTTGTTTGCTTAGGTGATGATTTTCAGCAACTCGACTGTTTATGCTGCGCTTATTTTCTGTTCCAACATCCGCAAGTTCCGCCAGCATTAATAAGTTGATACGCGATTTTCGAGAAAAGACAACAGGAAGAATGGGTGTTTTCAGCCACGGTAACCCACCCACCCCAAGAAATTAAGGCTCTAACTTACTATAATTTTCTGAATTACATTCAAAATTTGTTATTTGATACGCAATCCACTCCAAGTTGTTAAGAAAAGCGGTACAGTATACACTATACAACCAAGACATCTTGCTAGCAATCTGCGACAACACTAACAAACAAATTACATTTTTGGCAGTGTACGATGAATTACAGGTGTTCCGTTCTTTTTATAAAATATTTTTTATTCAAACAGATATTAAAGTTTGTATGTCCAAGGTTAGCTTAAAAGAAATTGTTTGATCCTGTCAAGCAGCTTCAAGGGCTGGAGGCCGGCAAGTTTCAGCAGCATGACTCATTCTCTTCACTTATAGGTTATACCTATTCATTTATTGCCACGCCAGACGAACATCGATGCCAAATGTAAAGGCACGGTGACTGATCAAGCAATAATGATGTACAATAGTTCTATTGTGACTGGAATAATATTTAAATCGACAATGCAACGAGAATTTCTTCGCCGCTGTTCAAATGGTGCTCTGTGAACTCTCTAATCTAATACAAGGACTAGATGATGGTTTTTCCGAAATGAAGTGTATGACTGTTTTCGTTGACTTGCTTTTTCTCCACGATAGTTTTTTTTTATGAACTAACTCTTAAAATTTTTACCAATCCTGCACCCTGAAAATACTTCGGAAATAAAATGTTCTAGTTTTTATTTCAATTCAAGAACGTAGCTTAGGTGCTTGTACACGGGGATAGTGCAAACGGCTAGTAAATCTGGCAAGTGTCGGTCGCTTGGTGACTATCCGGCTAGCAAGCCTGTACACGAGGAGAGTAAAATATAAGGTGCCGCTTTACTTCTCATTCGCGCCCGCCAGTGCGTCGTTAGAAGCTGTCGAGTGAGGTCTGTGGAGATGGATCGAGGGATCACCTTCAACAACTCGAGTCTGTACCTCGTTTTATACTCTTTATTCTAGCCCTTAAAGATGCAACGTCGGGAACAACTTAACCCTAACTAATAAGGTCTTCTTTCAGTTTCAAAATATTAGTTTCTCTCTTCAGTTTGTTGGAGTAACCAGCATGGCGAACATTCCACATTAATTCATATCTTTAGAATATCTCAAAGAACATTAATTCATATCTTTAGAATATCTCAAAGAACAATTGTATGTCGTCTGGACTCCACTTCGTTGGGTTCTTCTTAGAATCATTAGCGTTCAAACAAGCCATGATTCACTTAATGGCGGTTTCAGCGTTATTAGGCCGTAGGCCTGTCGCCGATTCTTAACATCGCAGAACATTCACAGCATTTTGCGGTCTCGAACTCGCAACTCACTGCTACAATTCTGCTATGCTTAACCGCCCGGCCTCCTTGCCGATTCTGGCCAGAAACTGGAGCACATAGCTGGGACCGAACCCGCGCCTCTCTGCGCCAATCGTGGTACTCGATCTGAACTTTAACCACTGGGCCACCCTGCCAAGAACACTTGACCCAAGATACTTCACAAGAGCGACACAGATACTCTCACCATGGCTGAATCAGCCCCACTAGCCACTTCTCCAGCGAAAAAATCAACACATGGTTGTCCCTCTCGGCCTCGTCTCGGGCACTTGCCGGCGCATGCCTCTGAAGCGGCTGAACCCTTATACACGAGGCTAGTAGCGTGGACAGTTAAGCGGCGGATGAACTAGCTGCTAGTACTATCCCTGTATATAGGCCCCAAAGTGAGGAGGTAATGGAATGCGATACTCAATCGGTTTCAAAAGGATGACGTCACGGCACCGAATGGTGCAATGCATTGTGGGATTGGCCGCCATATTTGTTACATGGTCTAGCGTTCGCCTACGTTTTCCATCTACTGCGCTCGTCTCTTTTTGAAGTTTTTGCTTGAAGATGGGACGCAACTGCGAGGTTGTTGGATGCACCATCCCTTCTCACGACTATT